TAATCTTTGCCATACTACAATGTCACTTCTTTCCATTACCAACCTACGTTTGTCCTGACCGAGGTCCTGACACTTGTATCGAAAACCAAGTTTCAACAATTGCTTGCGAAGAGTTTCCCTTCCACCCATATATTTGATCTTTTCTTGCACTTTTCTAGGAGCATTTTAAAATAACCTTTATTTATGTACAGATCGTCGCCTACTAAACATTGAAATGGCGGTAAAGAGTATAATGTAATGGGCATGCTTAAATTATTACTTCAAAGCGTCTGTTTATTTACAAGCTCTCAATGGAACATAAATATTCGTAAATATTTGTTGTCATTTGTCCATAACCTCATTTTAGATTTAGGTAATCGACAAATCTCTATTTTAAAAAATGACAAACGATTTCAGTATTATTTATGATCGAAATGAATCTGAAAAGTTATTGCTGTTTTGTTTTGTTTTGTGATTATGTAACTGAATGCACCCAAAAATCGTGCTGATTCCCTTTCACGCACTGCGCATGAGTCCCAACGGCTCCGCCATTAAAAGTCGGCCACTGTAGTTGGAGTTATTTTTCCACGCGCAGGTCGTATGTACTGCCTCTCTATTTACTTATATACAACTCTGTGCTCTGCACTGTGCAATTGCAAGCGCGCTAGAATTTGAATTTGCGTTGAACTGTATTATAAGGGAAAGGGGTAAATATACGAGTAAAAAATATACTCGTGGGCCCACTTAGATTGCACCGTTTCGTAAAGTACTATTATTTGTTCTTGTCTTTTCTTACGCACAAAATTCTGCATTTTATTTAATTCCCTTCCGCATTATGTCTCACGTCCCAACACATAAAATAACCGATTACACAACGTAGGACCCATCGTGCCACCCGGTCCTAGTGTGGTCCTGGCCCACTGCTACCGAAATTCAAAAGTGCCGCGAATAATTTATAAATTCGTGGTCGCGAAACATCCGTCTTTTCGTCGGCTCGTGATTTTTTTCCAGAGTTGCCAACTTGTACATCAAAATTGCAGTGCCGGCTGAGGGGACCCTTACGATCATTTACATTACAATCCAAAGTGAGAAAGAGACGGAAAACCTCGTCTCAATCACTCACATTTATGGAGTTTTTTTTCTGACACCACAATCGCGCGCATTTGTTTCACAACGGATGCCCAACATCATCTGCCTATCTTTAACCATTTAAGAATTTCATTAAAGATATTGCGGACGACAACACGGCAATATACCTACCCATTTAAATTGTTCTTAATCATATAATATTGTAGTGAATATTCTAGAATAAATCCCGATCGACATCGAGGCGTCATAAAAGATTACTCCTCGGCGATAAGAAACTAAGGCGAATGTGACGCTTTCTTTCCGGGAAATATGACGTGCGTGTTCGGAAGCGTTTGGGAGCACTAGAGAATATTCTAGAGAGATTGTTGTTCGCCATATAAGCCTATAAATTGTGAGTGACATGACAAACAAATAATAGTTATTGTTATAAATTAATCCATTTCAAGTATGTTATAAATTTATTGTTAGTTAATTGTAAATGATAAATCACATAATTAAATTTAGGCTGCAATACTTATAATAAATGAGTGAGAGAAGTCCCACCCTGTATATACATAGGTACTAACCATTATATGTATAATACAATGTGTACGTTCAGTCGACGCAACTATTGACTAATACCGTCAAACGTGTCTGGATGCATGCGCTGTATTTTTTCAAGACAGTTGGAAGTGGTCCCATCTTTTACCGGTAACTGCAGGCCGAGTATAGGAAATTAATTAAAAATGGATAATTTTATTCGGGTTTGTATTGAATACAGCGAGGAGCTGGAAACTCCATATTCCATTTCCCAAAACTCCGGATTTCTGTATAAGGTAAACGCTTGATTTTGTAGAGATTTTGCCATTTGTAATTGCCGTAGGTCTTTTGTATATTTACGGTCGGTGTCGCAAATAAGTTTTGTAGGTACAAGTACCGTCATTTCTTCTGCTTTTGAAATTAATTGCTCTGTAACTCTTTTACATCCTTTGCATTATTAACCGATCCGTTTAGTTTTGTTTCTGCCCTTTAAGTATTTGCATTTTGTATTATAATTTAAGTCTTATTGTTTTCATTTGAAAATTTATCGGTTGGGCTCAGGTTGGGCTTTTATCGAAGTGACCCGCAGAATTCCTGGAGCTACCGCTTCTCCGATTGAGTCTATGACAGAGGCTACCGAGATCGACCCGCAGACCATTGCTACCGCCGACCTCGACCAGGCGCGTGATTTTCGCTTGGTGGCGCCCGAGTCCGTCCAGTCCTTTCGCCGGCGCCGTCTCCCGCCGACAATTGGTTGTCCCCTACGACCGTTGTGTTTATGAGTTCTATAGATTGTATCATTATTTTTTTTCTGTCAGTACATTTCAATCATTTCAGTTGCCTTTAATTTTAAAGCACACCGAATTTGCGCACTTTTCATCGCTCAGGAAAAGGCTTTTTTACACGACGCTCGTCCCTCGCACGAGTTGCTAAAACCGGGTAGACCCTTCTCGTATCGTGTACATTTCCATTTTAGTTCTTTATTAGAGTAGAGTGCCAATGCAAGTCGAGTGAATAGAAAATCAATCCTATTTACTGGCGCAAGTAACAAGTACTCGGTTTTAGCAACTCATACAAGTTACTAACGTCGTGTAAAGCAGCCTTTAAGCCAATGTCTCAACACAGTCGACAGTAAGTATGCGTCGGGTGAACGTGTACCCAATGATACAATAACCTACGACGAGTGAGACATCTTTGCAAGCTGGTAACCGCGCAACTTTTAAGAAGAAGGAGAAAGCTGTCTCGAGAGAGGCTTCTATTATTTATTTATTTATTTTCATTTTATTTATTTTATTTATTTTATTTATTTTATTTATTTTATTTATTTTATTTATTTTATTTATTTTATTTATTTTATTTATTTTATTTATTTTATTTTATTTTATTTTATTTATTTTATTTATATATTTATTTATTTGGCTTTTATTTTTGAGTGGGCGGGGTTTCAGCCATGGCTGCTCTACCAATGCCCAACCCACCATACATTTATAAATATACAGGTCCGATCCCAGATTCGAACCAGGGACCGTAGTCCAGCTTCCACTGATCTGTGCCACACGGGCCGACATAATAACAGTGCCATTTATATGTGTGTAAAGCGTTATTCGACATTATTTTTTCACTGAATGAATTCACTATACACGGTGTCCATTTTTCGAGTGCCACTATGGGGATCTCACTTATCTTAAGAGATAGAAAGTTGGTTAAATGGGGGCAAAGTTGCCAATTTTCGTGCTGAATAAGAATCTGAAAAGAAATTTGAAATATCTTTAATAGTTTTGAAGATATCGCAAAAAAACGAAAATTGTCAATTTCATTTTTCATTGTGCCCCACAAAAAATATTCCAAGGGAGACAGGTCAGGTGACCGCGCCGGCCAGCGCACGTCGCCATTATAAGCAATAACATGATTGGGGAACAATTCCGATAAGCATTCCCCAACCCTCCTAGCATTATGGGGCGGTGCGCCATCTTGCTGGAACCATATCGAGTTCAAACGATGAAGAGGAACCCATACATTAACGCTAAAACGTATTTGGGGTCGTCGTTCTTGAAATAGATGAGAATTTTCAATTGACCAGTAATGTTCATTGTCAAAATTTCAAAATTTTTACCGCTTGCAAAATTACTGTCTACATCTTTTAAAAGAACCATATTCGCTCAAGTTTTTATGCAGCAAATAAAAATACCTCAAACTAGATTGTTGCCGCTCTGGATAACGCTGGAAGTATGTTGCAGCAGCCATGTGGGCATTTCGATGAGAAGTGTAGTAAATTTGGATCATATCTGTTTGATCTGCACTTGAAAAAGGCATTTTCGCATACAACTAACATAAACCTAAATGGCACTACATGAAATAAGTCAACCTTTTGTTTAAAACAAAAGAACGTTTTCTTTTTCCAAAGCACTCTTCTCAAATAATTAAAAATTGTATTTTTAGGAAAAATGTGATACTGAACCACCATGTGTGATATATCGTTGTAAATAGAAAAAAAAACGCAATTTCAAAATGTGAAAATTCAAAATGGCGCCCATAAGAAACACTATAGTTGCCACGTGTTTCTCCGTCATCTTGAAAGTTATTAAAAACAGGATGCCATATTTGAAATCTCCATTAAAAAGTGTCTGAATAATGTGTTAATTAGGAATGTCTACTACGATTAGTTTATCATAAAAAAATTAAAAACGAAAATCAGAAAATCAAAAACATTTGAAAAAAATTAAATTAACATTGATTTCATATCTTAAGGGGTATAATATTTGAGTATTGGAGATTTGTATGTCCAGAGTTAAATTTAAGCACTGTATATGTATTTGCGAAGTAATATTTATGACTACCGTAGACCGTACTCTACTTTCATATATCCCGAAATTTCATTTTCGAAAATTAAGTAGCCGGCAGTCGTCGTGGGACACTCTGTATATGCAATTGTATTGTGTAGGCCAAGGTGGATTCATAAATCCAATAAATCCACCTTGGTGTAGGCGCAAGGAGAAAATTTCCGCTCATAACTATTTTTCAAATTTTTTTATGTTGCGGTGTTTTTATTTAGCAAGACAATTATTTTTTTTCGTTACATCAGATATCCCACGTACTTAGCTGTCTTGCTGCCTATTATTCGTTTGAATTAGAAGAGAACCGCATTTGAATTTTGAATTATTCCTAATTGAATTAAATATTTCCCAACATATAATTATTATTGTGAATATGGGTTTTTTTAATTTGCAGGTGAAACAGCAAATTCACAATAGCGTGTCTGCAAAACTTGTTCTTTCAACCATAACACAGCACGCGTTGTTTGCAACTTTGCATATAAAAATAAAACTTTGTGGCGCCGAGCGCATGCTTCTTTCGCGAGATTTCCCCGCTAAATCCTTATTTGAATCGTAGGTATTGGCTGGTGAATTCGCAAGCGAAAATATCCCTAAAGTGAAGGCAAACTTGAAGGAGAAGGACATAACCTAATTCAAGTCTGTCATACGAGGTGTGTTTTTGCTACAGGAAATTAAATTCTAAACCGTATTTTATATTTAATAATAACAGTGTTTTAAATTATCATAAATGTAATTAGCGATCTGGTAACGAGGGAGAATGGCAGGTGTTTTTGATTTGGAATTGCACGACGTTGAAGCTGTTGAGGTTGATGATTCAGACGACGATGATGTTATTGAAATTCAAGAGGTAAAATTGTGTCCCAAACCTTTTAATTAACATAAATAATTAAACAAACATTTGCTCCAAAAAACTTCTGCATTAAATACATCAAATACTAGAATTACTGTACTTGAATTTCACCTTATGGTAACTTCTAGGAAACCCTAGAAGTAAACAAGTTTGTTTAGATTTCATCTTGTTGAGTGGTTTTCAATAATGATAATCGTTTGCAGGGTGGATACGATCAAAACCCCAATGTAAATGAAATCATTGAGTAAGTGCTTAGGATCGTATTTCATTTTGTAAACAATTAAATCTTTAGGACTGACGACGTGGAGACAGTACAATTAACTGAACAAAATGTGAATCCCGGCCAAGATAAAGCCGGCCCACAGGATTTCGAACTACTTAAAGTATTGGGAAAGGGCGGATATGGCAAGGTTTTTCAAGTTCGCAAAGTGAACGGAACCGATGCTGGCACAATATTTGCTATGAAAGTGCTGCGCAAGGCTTCCATCGTTAGAAATCAAAAAGACACGGCGCACACTAAGGCTGAACGAAATATTTTAGAAGAAGTCAAAGTAGGTGCCCGAAGAAACTACAATGTCGCTAATTTATCGTTTTTAGCACCCGTTTATAGTCGACTTAAAATACGCATTTCAAACGGGCGGTAAACTTTATTTAATTTTGGAGTATTTAAGCGGCGGCGAGTTATTTATGCATTTAGAGCGGGAAGGTATTTTTTTGGAGGATACTGCTTGGTGAGTCATGCGTAATGCAACACTCCCGCCTTACCTATTTTTTTGCAGCTTTTATTTGGCAGAAATAATACTAGCTTTAGAACATTTGCATATGCAAGGAATTATATATAGGGATCTTAAGCCAGAAAATATACTATTAGACGCTCAAGGTCATGTGAAACTAACAGATTTCGGCTTGTGTAAGGAGCATATTCAAGAAGGCATCGTTACTCATACATTTTGTGGTACTATAGAATACATGTAAGTATTTAAGGCATCCTGGATGTCTGAATTTTGAGAAAATTGTTTAATTTTGAATTTTGTCGAGATAGTCCCCCTATAACATGGTCCATTTATGTGTTAGGATTCATTTGTTTTTTATGTAATATATTCAAATATTGTACTACAGGGTGTTTGAAAGTTTACGTACACTTACAGTTAAAGGTAAATCGAAATATCAAACTGAATAAACCAAATTTTACACTAGCCATTAGATAATTAAATTATCTATTATTCAGTTTATCATGTTCTTCAAACGATGATAAGTTGATAAGGAATAGGTAAATTATGTATCGCAGAGAATTGAGGGTCAAAGAGAAGAAACAAGCTTTTATTATTAGATCTCTTGAAAAATAAAACCATTTTTTTAACTTGCTACTACTACTGTATGATAATAAAAAAATATCTATCAATATTTAAAACTATCAATAATTTAAACTATAATGGATAATACCGACTAGAATAATTGATAACTTTGGTGTAAGGTCAGTATTTGATCCTCAAATGCATCTTCTTGTTTTTGTATACTAATTATTTTCTGTAATTATACACATATAAACTAAAAAAATAAATATACAAGGTGTTACAAATTTGACGCATTCACATTGCTAACTTTATAACTACAAGAGATAGAGAGTTGGATAAATGGAGGCAAAGTTACGTGTTTTAATGCTGAATAATTTATTTGTTAAAATGTAGTTAAACGAGTTCGTCTTACTTTCAGAGACAGCTTTACTATTGATTATTTGGAAAAACCGACAGCAATTTTTTTTTACGGCTTTAAAACTGCGTATTTGGAAAAACCAAAAGTATTTTCTTAAGGCGGCTTTCTAAGCTATGTAAGAAAATGATTTTACTTTTCTGAGGCGACGTGCCGGTTCTTAGATACCAAGATCTTTATTCTTTAAATACGGACCTGGATTTTTCATTTTTGAGTAGCTTTTGATCTTCAAAGACTAATGATTTTCAATACAAGCATTTGAACAGAATGTGTGTCTCTATGGCAACAAACAAAATGTACTTTTCTAACGAAGAGAAATGTGATATTATGCTTCATGTTCACTATTTTCACCATTTTAAATACAAAAAATGCATTTTTCAAAGTATCCCTCATGCCTATAACCCTCGATGTTTTTAAGATTAGATACTAGGACAAAGTACGGCAGAGGGGTAGGTATTTTTCTAAGTGGGACCGCCAAATTATTATCTAAAATAGCTTACAGCGGTGCCAAATAGAATGCGAGGTACTGATTCTGGGAACCTGTCCAGGGCGTAGAGGCTTGCGGTAAAAAAGTTATTACTAAAACGGCCACGAGAAAAACTGACGGTATTTTTAATGGTCTTGAAATGGCCGCTAGAGGCAATCTGGAATCTAAAATGATTTTTCTGTTAATTCCGCTATATTAACCTAACAAAAAATATCTGTCTTTTTGAAGACGACGATAATCTGAAACCATTTTTGTTTGACAATTTTTCCTGGTATCTCTAAAAAATGAAGTGGGTGGGGCGTAGTTCAAACGTTTCCGGTAAAAGAACATTCCTGTATCTTTCGAAAACGGGCTGAGCCGATTTAACAAACTCGGGTTTTATTTGAAAGAGTTATTCTTCGACTACAAATATTATAATATTTGTAAGTTTTGTTTTTCACATCATCGCCGCCTTGAGGGCTTTTTTTCGACATGCCGACCAGAAATTGTAATTTTTTATAAAAAAAATTAAATCTGCGTTGGTTTGATTTTTTTTTTTGTTCATGAAAAGAGCTAAATGATACCTAAACAAGCTCGGCGAAAACCGCATCTAAGGGTGTTCTTTACGGAAACCTTTGAATCACTCCCCCCCACTTCATTTTTAGAGATACAGGAAAAATTGTCAAACAAAAATTGTTCAGATTATCGTCAACTTCAAAGACCGGACATTTTTTTGTTAGGTTAATATAGCGGAATTCACAGAAACATCACTTTTTTAGATTCCAGATTGCAGTTGCGCCCCCTAGCGGTCATTTCAGAAAGTTAAAAATATTTTCCAGGTTTTGCTCGTGGCCGTTTTAGTAATACATTTTTTTACCGCAAGCCTCTACGATGGATGGATTCCCAGATACAGTACCTCACATTCTTAGTTGGCCACCCTTACATTTTCTATTTGTTTATAAAATGATTAAATCTTACAAATAATTTTTCATTGTTATTGTTTTATTTTGTACATTGTACCCAAATACTTTTTAAAGATGTTTGGTTATTGTTTAATATTGATCAGTGGTCATGGTTTGTCCACAAACCCACTTTTTAAATGCACATCAAAGTATGCACCTTTCGCATGTCAAAGACATACATAAGTTAATTGATACAGTAGGCACTCAGTAATCCAGCACCCAAATTTTTTCGCGGTGGATTTGAATGGGACATAAATTCATTTTTAGCGCATTTGTTTGACCACTTTCTCCGTCCGTCCTACAATTTTCAATATATATAGTGCGTATTATGAATTTGGAATTCTTTACTACAAAAAAGATAATAATAATAAACAATAAATTTTTAATCGGTAACTTATAGCGTCTGGCCCTAAGCCAAGAAAAGCTCCGCAATATCAACCTTCTTATTTATAGTACTTATAATATTTTTTTTAAATTTTAGCCCTTAGTAGATGCTTCTAGTACAGAAATATACTTACATAACTCTGATCTTTTGGGTGGATGGATATTTTGCAGAGACCTTAATGGAGTAATTAAATACATGTAAAAGTAAGAAGGATAAAAAGGATGAGAGATTTCTCAGGTTAATCTGAAAATGCAAAACAGCGAAACAGATTTCTGTTGGACAACTTTCATTTTATTTTAATATAAAACAAATTGTTTTAGTTTCAAGTTTTTATTATTTTTTTTTCCCAGTTACGTAAATCTGAAATCGCAAAAAGAATCATCGGAAGGTTTGTTTCCATTCCGGAATCATCGGAGTGTTTTTTATCACTCCGGAATGATTAAACATTTTCCCCATTCTGGAATCGGAGTGTGTTTACTCCGGAATCATCGGAATGTTTTTTCTCATTTCTAAATAACTTTTTCATCTGAATGTTTCCTTTTTCATTCCGAAATCATCGCTATGTTTTTGCAACGCGATTCATTGGGATGGGTGGGATCTTTGTCCCCTGGTTTTTTGGGTTTTTTTAATAGGATTTTTGTCCCCTGCTCTTTGTTTTTTTTTCAACGTTTTTTTATCATTCTGGAATGCTTTTTTTGTTTTGTTTTTTTTTATACGGGATTAATTGGGACGGGATGGATCTTTGTGCCCTGCTCTTTTGGTTTTTTTTAAATGGGATCATTGTCCTCTGCATTTTTTGAAGTGGAATTAATTGGGATGGATGAAATCTTGGTGCCCTGCTCCTTTGTTTTTTTACCATTGTCCCCTGCCCTTTAAAACAATTCGAAAATGGATTTAAAAAATATTGTCTATTAAAAAAATCCACTCTGGTATCAAAATATACTTTTTGACGCCCCTTTAGATTTTCTCTTTAGTGCAAAAAATGTGCAAGAAAAATTAAGATAGACATGAGCAAGCATTTTTTTTTAATTTTTAAATGAATTTGTTCCATATGTTAGCCGCTCCACTATATGTCGTTTCACATCCTTCCAAGTTCTGTCGTTCATCTTCGAAAATAATTTTGGAAAAAATTTCTCGTCTAATTTATCAAAATCCAGTTTAGCAAAGAGAAGTGAAGTTTCCTGAAGCTGTCGGCGAGTGTTTTTGTGTGTTTGATGAGTGCGCCTGAATAACTTTTTACGATCAGATTATAAAAACTAAGTAATTCTAAGATTTCTTATTTTAATTGTCGCCGCCTGCGTGCGGGGTAATATGTCCCTACAAGCTTTATAAACTTTTCTTTCTCAGAGATTTTGTTTCATATTTTTCATGTCAAATTTTTCTATTGGTGCTTAAGATTTATTTCATGTTCTCATCAAAATTGGTGTAATAAATTCTTTAGAATTTTCGGAAGTTGATCGAGACCACAGAGTTTCTCAAATTCAAAAATTTTGAGTCAATATTAAGGTTTTTCTGTAGCAGATGCCTGATGAGTACGAGGAAAGATGATAAAAAAGTTTCAATTTTGTTTTGAGCTAGCTGGATAGGTGTTTTGTGGGTGGCGTAGTGACCGCACGCCATTGGCAACATATATGTAATGGATCAATGAATTCTCAGCGATATTTGCAAATTAGACATGCAGTGACACGATGAAGCACCACCGCATTCTGCGAGAATCATCATCGATTATCTAAATGCGCAGTTTGGAGGAAACTGGATAAGGAATCAAGGGCTAATGCAATTTAGCATTACCTCCAAATTCTTTTTCAGGATATTTCTATAACCTATATATACAAGGTTTTTTTGCTTGCTAAAATGCACACTTCGTACATATCAACTTTCATTAGGAGTAAAAGTATTACACAACAATCATAATTCAATAATAGCATCTGACAGTTGTAGACAACATAAATACTGCTGTTGTTCCGGTCACAGCCCTCTAAAATCAGAGTCTATACTTGTTTCGTCCATGGCACACTTCTTTAGCTGTAATGAAATAAATTTAAACATGCGTTCTTTTCACAAATATTGTTATCTAAGGGTATACAAATATCACTGAATTCGGAATAAAATTCTCTTTCAAATGAAATAAAGAAAATATAGTTCCATTAAAAAACAAAGTTGGTATCCACTGGTTGAAAAAAATATTTTTTCGTGCTTATTACAATAGTGTTGCAAAATAGCAATAGTGGACAAAATAAAATGAACATCCTGTATAAAACTGTATCACGATGGATTCTACATAAAAAAGTCTTCTGAGAAAGATTTTGCCAAAATCAATAGGGTCTTCCTGGAAAAAAATATTGTAACTTTTTTGTGTCTTACTGTAAAGGCGATAACCTGTAATTAAACATCTCATATACAAAACTTTTTTTCCTAATTGCAGCATGTCAATAAACAACATATAATATCGTAAAACTTTCAAATTTTGTCATGCAACCGACGACATGCCGATATTGGCNGATAATGGGCCGTATGAATAAAAGGAAGCAAATGCTTATACTTACAAAATTCAAAGTAAATACTCGTAACTGCCCCTTCATACTGGTCTGTTTAGCATGGTTTAGCAGCGCTGCACTGCGTCCTGTCCTGCTGCTCAGCAGCGCTGCTAAATCGCCCAGTGTGAAGGAGCAATTACGAGTATTTACTTTGAATTTTGCAAGTATAAGCATTTGCTTCCTTTTATTCATATGGGCCAATGTCTTCTCTTATTCCATGCTGTCTACTTACAATGAGCACAAATAATTGACGTATTCCGAACTTAATTTAATTGCTCATACTGCATTTTTTTTGTTCAGGGCCCCTGAAATATTAACACGAAGCGGCCATGGCAAAGAAGTGGACTGGTGGTCCCTCGGTGCTTTAATGTACGATATGTTAACGGGTGCTGTAAGTTAAAATGCAAACAAGCGGGACTAGCCGTTGAATTGTACGCTTGCTTTTCAGCCGCCATTCACAGCGGAAAATCGAAAAAAGACAATAGAAAAAATTTTAAAGGGAAAACTAAATCTCCCGCCGTACTTGACGGCCGATGCGCGAGACTTAATTCGAAAATTATTGAAAAGGCAAGTTTCCGTTAGATTAGGCGCGCCGCCGTCCGATGCCCTAGCCGTTAAGCAGCATCATTTCTTTAAACACATTTCTTGGGATGACGTGCTGTGTAGGAAGTTGGATCCGCCGTTTAAGCCGAGTTTGGTAAGTTTCTTTTTTTCCATATCTTTTGAGGAATAATTGATTTGCAGACCAGCGAGGATGACGTTTCACAGTTTGATACCAAATTTACAGAACAAACTCCAGTTGATTCTCCTGTCGAGTGGAATCTTAGCGAAAGTGCCAACATGATCTTTCAGGTTTGTATGCAAAGTCTTCTTTAAATTTACTACACATTACATTACTTCCATTTATTTACGGTATTAACATTTTGTAATTAGCGTAAGGTTCCCATGAAGCTTAAAAAATCGATGAGGGCTTTTTTATTATCTCTTTGAGGAACGTTTCTTTGCATTATACCAATGAATTTTTGGAACAGCACATCTTCTCGCAGAGAACTTTATAGCAATGGAACAGGCACTTTGCCTATTAGCTCACCATGTTGATGATGTGGGAGAGAGGGAGGGGCACGAACGTATAAATTAAGATAGACTGCTAATGATGAATTGACAAATGACACCTACATAAGGGCAGGGGGTCGATTTTTGGCCGTACAATTCCTTAAAACGTATACGTATCCGTAAAGAAACGTATATTTGCAATTTTTGACCATACGTTTATATTGCGTATACGTTTAATTGTGTTCGTTTTTCTGCGAGCGGGTAAATGGCGTTCGCAAACGCTCGCAACTGACGTTTTGTGGGTTATGTATTGGTTAGTGTTGAAGTTTTGACTCTTGAGACTTGAAAGGTATCTACTAACAACAATGGATGAAGCTGTGAATGTGTTTGTAATAGACAATTTAGAGAATGCCGAACGCAATTATCGCCCGAATAGGAACCGTAATCCTTGCAACCCCATAGAAGTCTTAAATGAAGCACAATTTATCAAAATGTATCAGCTACTTCTTTCCATGAGTCTTGCATTTTCTTGCACGTCAAAGTCGTAGTTTGTTTCCCTGCTATTATATCGGGGTGGTTTTTAGTAAACTCTACTAGCCACCCATTTTGGTTTTGCGTGGTATTGCACCCTCGCTTTGGCGTGTTCATCGTGTTTTCAGTATTCATGCTAATCAGTGCCTAAAATATTATTATTCTTTAATTTGAAATGACTGAGCAATATCTTCACCTCACCACCTAAGCTCAAACCCAAACGTCAAATAGTCCGTTTTAGTTCTAATCAATCAATAAAGGCGACGTTGTCATATGCACTGTACGTTTCGGTTCCAGGCAGTTACGAACAGTAGTCAAAAATTGCATTTGGAAAACGTATACGTTTTTAAGTCTTCGCATCTAAGCGTATACGAATAGATGCGACTGGCTTCAAAAATCGACCCCCAGCCATGATGTGCACTCACTTGGCGCGAAATTCAAATCAACTAATAAACAAGCATTAACCCAATGAATAAAGAATACCAGGAAGGAGAATATCAACAATATACGTGCGACTGCGATGGCTTTTGCAAATGGCGGACAGTAGTTTCCTGTCCCAGTGGCGTACCTACCTTACAGTTGTAGAAGGATACAATAATTATAAAGAATTTTACACGAAAACAATCTAAACCCCCATGTGTCTACTACGCCTATGACTTTTGTTTAACTAACCTCAAACTACATTACGATAAAAAATTTGTAAATTTACATGTATCTACTATATAAAAATAATATTGGTATCAATACTTACACATGAAATGTAATTCCCAAACTTTTTTATTTTTTTTCCGTTTTGGAGCAACCACAAGCACAACGACTAACCATTCCACAACAAAAATGAGTCATAAGTGGCTTTTGCAAATGGCCGACTTCCGTCCCACTCTCTCTTGTATACAACCTGAGCAATGCTCCTTCCTGGTATTCTTTATTCATTGCATTAACCTCACGTTTTCTAAATAAATTACTGTGACACATGTCATTTTCCAAGGCTGCAATAGTCTCAAAACTTGAGCACTAGGAAAATTCGCCTAGAAATATGCACATTATGGCCGCGCCCATGCTAGGGCCATTTCTCTATGCAACTGTTTGATCAGCAGTCCATCTTAATTTATAAGTCCGTGAGGAGGGGTTAGTAAGGCGGTCAACCGTCCCGTATTCAGCGGGACAGTCCTGTAATGGCAAAGGCAATCCCGCATTCAAAAAATTAACAAATATGTCCCCGGAATTAAACCAATGCGTCCCGCGAGTCCCGCTTTTCGCTTTTGTAGTAGTGTTACCCAAATTCATGTAAACGAGACAACGCCAACGAGCAAAGCGATTACTCGATTACTTGTAATGAATTTCATTCATTATTACTCACTAATGATAATGCCTTGAATGCCATCAATTCTGAAAAAAAGTATCCATTTAAAATTAAAGATAATTAAATTAAAGTTTTGTTTTTTAATACCTATAGCACTACATAATACTATGTATGCATGTCTCTTGTACGTTTGTTTTTTTTAATAATATAAATATTTTTTAACTTTGCATGAGTTTTTAATTTGAAAATGGATAAGCAAGTAGGGGGGGGGGGGGCACAGTGGTGTCCCGATTTTTTAACATGGAAAGTTGGTCACCTTAGGGGTTATGGGGTCAACAACTGATCAAACAAGGCTTTGACTCATTTTCCGAAATTATGTGAGAGGCAAAGATTAGGGGTGAATGACCGAACGGACCTTTGTGTTTCACCTTGACGTATGTGGCATCGCAAAAAGGAGTTGTTGACCTCTAATAACCTCGAAAGCGGATGCCATTTAGTTTCACCTTGACCTACTGTACAAGGTTAAGGAATCCAAGAATGAGAAAAGATAGTGATTGTGCGTTATCACAATAAATAGAATATACGACGACGCGGCAAAGTCTCGAGACTGGTCGCCAAATGCTTGATATGCCGACGCGGTAGTGTTTCGAGTTTGTTGTCATGTACTTTTCCAGGAATAAATAGTACGCAGCTGGCGCGAAATATGAGGTTCTTCAAATCTTAAAAATTTATCAATTCTACTATCCTTCGGCCGTAGGTAAACAAACGCGAGCAATAAACAAATTGCTAGCGGTAAACAATGCGAGCTGATGGCAGATAATTAATTGAAAGTTCACAAACACAGAGGTTGATGCAACTTCAAGCACTGTTATTAGCATGTTTATTTGGTACTGATAAGTACTTCTACTTTTACTTTACCACACGATTTCAATTTATTTACTAGCCTTACGCACTTTTAACGTACTTATTTTATCCCACAAAGTAGAACGCGCTGTGTAGGCGACCGTGCACGTTGATAGCTCGCCTTGCCTTGAGCTCCTACCCACTAAGTATGGTTCAGTGGTAGAATAGCGAATATAATGCAGAAGAATACAGAAAGCACATATATGTTTATTGGATCCTTTGCATTTTAAACACATTTATTTTTTCAGCAGAATCTTAAGGGATGCACTGCATCCGTTACTTCTTTGCCACTGATTTCCATCGTCTGTCACCATCACAAATGCTTATCATCCATAGCTGTCACAATAATTTCTTCTTTTCTAGGGATTTACGTATATAGCGCCATCTGTTCTTGAAGATATGTATAAAACGTCATCGATCATAAGAGCCAGATCGCCAAGAAAACTAGGTACTACGCCGATGAGGCATCATCACATGTCTCCATTTATGCATCCTTTACATCACGGTCATCATATAGGTCAAGGTCAATCGTTAGGGCACAATTTAGCACACATGGGACATTTTACCACTTCACAACCGCTTACGACAACAAATAACTGTACAGAAGAAATGATGGAAGTGAGTGGTATACCTCTACTATAGTAGATAATTTGTTTTAGTTTCATTTTAAGAAATTATTTTGGTAGAATTTTTTTGTTAGTTGTTAAAAATTGATTCTAGTGTTTTTGAAACCGTTACCATACAACTTAATCTTAAATTGAAATGATTGTACATGATGATGTGTGCATTATTACTATTAAGTTTAATATTGTAGTTATACTCAAATTTTATGACAGCTCTTAAAGAGGACGCTTTCATTAAAGCATAAATTGGAATCAAGCAGTTTCCTTAGTTGGTAATTTGGATATTAACAAATTTTCGATATTTGAGTGAACTCTTTAATTTTGCTTCATTTCTTATGGTGCAACTCAGGCATTTATGAAACGTAGTACACCAAGAACTGAAATGTTTTTTACACAACACTTGCGTGTACTGTATTTTATATTGTATACTATCTACCTATACTACTTTTTACTACAAGTGCGTGCAAACGATGAGTTGCTGTGTGCTTTGTGTATACTAATTTTGTATTTTATCTGTTGTGATCATATTTCTCGAGATTTATTTTACAACACTTAATACTGTTTACATATTTCTAAATGATTGTTTCTAGGCTATAATACAAAGATTTAGTTAATTTTTTGTTTTTGGTGTACGTTTGTAACAAATTTATAATAAAACCCATTATTAATACCTATACTTGTTTTATACCTATTTTTTATCGTTTGAACAGACTTCCAAACGAGATAATAAATCTGAATTGCTAAACGCAAGTGAATATACAGGGTGATTCCTATAGTACCTGCCACCGTTTGGGAGCGTGTAGGTGGTGCGTAGGGGAGTATTTTGATATAGGACACTTGGGGTCGGAAATCTAAAATAAGGTGCCAGAGCCAAATTTACCTTCTGGAATTTCGCGCCTGTAGGTAGTCAACCCAACCGGCCGGCGGTGCACACGGAGCGATCTCAGGCGGCGATGTGTGGCTGACACTTGATCAGAATTTTGTTTAAACCCACGAAATCCCGTCTGCAACGACGCGTATTAAGTGAATAAACACTATGGCACGTTTTACTAACACGGAATACGCGGACATGCACTTCATGTACGGATTGGCAAATGGTAACGCACGAGCTGCACGACGAGCGTACGCTGAGCGGTATCGAAACCGTCAGTTACCCTGCAGACAGGTCTTTCAAGAAGTTCACTTCCGACTGTGCGAGACAGGGCAATTGCAGGTAAGCTGACGGAGGCTTAACTTTACACACAGATTCGTGATGCACATCGATACTTGGGTCATTTAAGCACCCATTTCGAAAAGTTTGTTTGTTTACACCGACCTCCTCCTATTTCGCAGCCCACTAGCGCCCGTGATCGCGATCGCCCGTTGGTAAATGCCTTAGAGGAGGATGTGTTGGAACGTTTCGAGGCAAACCCGCGTACTAGCACTCGACTTGTAGCAGATCAGGTGGGTTGTAGTCAACACACAGTGTGGAACATCGCCAACAACAACAACTTACACCCCTATAAGTTTAAGAAAGTGCAAGAGTTACGGCCGGGTGACCATGAAAGGAGGCTGGAATTCTGCAACTTAGTCGTCCAGGAGGAAGAAGCTAATCCGAACTTTCTGAGGAGCGTGCTAGTTACTGACGAGAAAGGATTCTCAAGAGAGGGGACCTTCAATCCTCGTAACAGCCACTACTGGGCGGAGCACAATCCTCATGAAACGTTTACGCGAGGATACCAGGACAAGTTTTCTTTAAACGTTTGGGCTGGCATCCTGGGGGACAACCTACTGGGGCCTTACATCCTCCCTCCGCGTCTAAATGCCCATAATTACCTGATTTTCCTGCGCGAGGTGCTACCAGAACTTTTAATGGATGTTCCAGTGAACTTGTACTGGGACCACTGGTTCCAGCACGATGGGTGCCCTGCTCACTACGGACGGCAGGTGAGGGAACACTTGGACCAAACCTATCCGGACAGATGGATCGGCCGTGGAGGTGCGGTGGAGTGGCCTGCCCGCTCGCCCGACATCACCCCATTAGATTTTTACTTGTGGGGTGTGATGGAAGCGCACGTCTACGAGACTCCCGTCGAATCCGAAGAGGACTTAAGGCTGGACAGTACACCCGTTCCGTTGCCCGAAAACGCGTGATTTCGTTCCACGATATCTTAATTCTGAGTGAAGTTGAAGAAGGGGTCGAATATTCCTGTGAAAGGTGAATGCTTTAGCTAGACAATAACGCCGGGGTTTACTAAAATGTTTTAAAATAATCTTTTTTTTAAGGGCAACGTCGAGGGCTGTTAGGGTGTCATATTTTGGAAAAGAAAAAAGGAAATAAATTTTCCTGGCGTTATTGCCTAGATATTAAGTTTACGAACGTATCTTAATTTTGGAAATTGTTCCAACTTCATTTATAGATAAGTTATCTTGGAAAAACAACTTAAAAGTTTTCCTCAAAAGCGCGAAAAGATAGCTTCCGCCGCGTGGCTGGTTTTATACAGATAGAAAATGTGCATTATAATTGGACTAAGTTTATGTTTTTACCATCGAACACAAATTATTATTATAAATAACCAAATTTGGGGATTGAGAATAGGCAACTTTACATACTCCGTTCTGTATGTACTGTCCAGCCTTAATTGCGCGCGTCGTCATGGCCGGAGAGGCTGTTCGCCAGGACATAGGAGTCTTCACGCGAGTTCGAGGGGAGTGGTTGGCTAGATGTAGGAAGTGCATTGAGAACAACGGTGGCCACGTTGAACACTTGTAAACGTTATTGCTTTTGACTGTCGTTTTCCCTCCTTCCCTCCCATGTCGCTTCCTCGCGCTAACTCGCTCTGCATCGCTCCGCGCGAAACGTCGGTCGGTTGGGTTGCCTACATACAGGCGTGAAATTCCAGAAGATAAATTTGGTTCTGGCGCCCTTATTTTGGATTTCCGACCCCAAGTGTCCTATATGAAAAGACTTCCCCTAGGCACCCCCTATACGCTCCCAAACGGTGGCAGGTACTATAGGAATCACCCTGTATTTTATTCCTTTTCTCATATGGTGCTATCTAGAGGCTTCGGTACCTTCGTTTGCACCCTCCCCGTTTTTAAGTTATTTCAAATACAAAATTACATAGTATTTTTTACTTAAGGCATTTGCAAAACATGTTTAGAAAGTGCCAAAGTGTTTTATTTATACAGTAATCGCTATCCATTGGGGTCGTTTTTTATGTGAATTTTTATTGTCTGTACCGCAATCCATTCTTTTTAAAGCAAACGGTTCTTTGCATGTGCAACAGAGCATCATGTAATCTTACTTTTTAAGCGTAAAGGGGGTTGATATTAATGCATTCATTTTAAACGCGTACTATCAAGCGGAACAGGTTTAGAAAATGCTCATATTCGACTTCGTTGTGCTTACTGCAATTCAACGAAAAATATGCTAGTGCTATGCTTAGTGTAAAGTTCTATTCTTACACTATGCTACCATGTTAGTGGAAGTGGTCGAAGATGTAAGGGACCGTAGCTCCAAGAAATTAATTCGGAACTTATCTATACAAGCTGGTGGGTGGGTATAACAATACGCACGATAGCATCTCTATTTCTTATTATTAGAGACTTGGCACATAATACATGGCACAAAGTTTTGCACGAAGATATTTGAATGTTTTATTAAGTTTCGAAGAAGAAGCATGGGTTAATTTATGGGATTAGGTTGATAGTCAGAATTATCGCACGTAAACAACTGAACTGCAGTGATTATTTAGTTAGCATGATTATCCCTTGGGCAACGTTAGAATTTATATTTCAATACATGAACCGGAGATTGCAACTGTGCTTGGTAAATTAACTAATTGTGATTATTGTTTAGTGATATCATTAAATTGATCCGCCATCTCTGCTTTTAAATAAATGACATTTGGTATGCTACCAACTTTATAAATTTTTAGTTTTGCGGGAAATTCAAACTGTCCGTAGTCATTTTGGATCACCCAGTATACAGCGTATATGTAGACATTTTTAACGCAACTTAATTTCTAGTAAGTACTTAACATATGAAAAATGAAGGTAGGATAAGGAAACGCGAGGTCTGCAGAATGCGATCACTCAGTTGACATGCCGTAGAATGTAATAACAAAGGGGCATTATTGGTGGGGTTAATTACTCCAATTACTCTAATTACTTCCATTTAAACCCACCTTGCAAAACGTGCCATCTATTCTCGTGTAGGGTTTGTAATATTGGTTACTTTCAAAATCCACAGCTACCCCCCACCCCGTCCAGAATTACGAAATCTCGATGCCCATTTCTTATCCCCTTTTTATCCATAAGGTTGTTTCACCATTCTATTACTTACACTATGGCATTAGTAGCATTCGGTAAATGCTTTGCTCTCAAGAATAAACCAGAAAAAATGTTCAGAAGCATTGGTGATATTTTTCGTACGACACCAAATCCTTAAAGGCTTTGTACTCTTTTATACCGGGTGAATATTTCAAAAGCGAACTTAGGGAATTAACATAGGAAAAAGGTTTTTTGCAGATCGTTGCTCTCCATGTTAATGTTTGTATCGACAAAAGAGACTACAATCGAATTCAGAGAATGCAGAATTCTTGCCTTAGACTAATCCCATATAGCACACTTTGTCCATCGGACGTACATTTTAAGTACATTATACGTACATACATCCATGGACGAATGATGTACATCCTATGTTCGTACAAAAATGGACGTACTTTTTGTAATGTACATTGTACGTACATACATTGTAGGATAGGATCAGTACGTATCGATAATTATTTTATAATTAATGTATTTTATGCATCTGATGATTGTCTGCAGTTTGCGCCGCTAACTGTTTATCTTTTTTATTAACATATTCTTTTCCGCCCAATATTTGTAACGTTTTTCCCGGTCAACGAAGAAATACGACAAAACGCGATTACTGATTCATGCGGTCGCGGCTCGCCGGTCATTCAATATGGCGTTGTGCTGTATTTATTTATTTAATCTAAATCACGTTTTTCTTACGTCGTACTCTTTTTATCCTTGGCAGTGACTTTTGCGAGAGTACGACACCTTTTGGCTTTGTTTGTTTTGTTTATATTAATGTACATCAACTAAATTTCCAGGTTTTCACAATCATAATAATTACGATCATTATTAAACAAACTTTTCACAATTTCAGTGTTTTATTTAACGTTCCTTCCCTACTGTGCTTCAGGTCAAGGCGTTGTTTTCAACTAACGTAAGGGGGCCCTGCCTTAGATGTTTTATCACGTGCCACTTTTCAAATTTAAGCGGGATCTTGTTTAGTTTTAGAGGGAATAGTCCAGAGACATGGAGAGAGCCATGTCTCTGGAATAGTCATTCGGGTGGCCATTTTTAAACGTTGCCGGGTTTATTTTATTTCCGTGTTCTTGTAGTGTGAAGTTAGGGTAGAACCTGAGGGTTAAGTACATTACAAGGTGTTGTGCGGAAAGGGGAAAGGATAAAAACGTGTGAATTGCATAAACCTATATATATATTTATGTATCATATATTTACTTCAATTAAATCGTTTTGAATTTCGTTTTTTTCTTTCATTTGCACCTCAATTTGCACCCATGACAATAACAGAATTTGTACATTTTAAGTACCTCTATGTATTTCCCATGGACGTACTGTAATGGACATACATTAAAGGTACAGGGCTATGTCAAATGG